CTACATCCGGGGCTGGGCCACAGGTGGGCGCATGTGAGAGGGAGGGGCCCTGAGCTCACGGAGGAGGAGGGAACTCCCAGGCAAGGCTGGGAAGCAGCTCCCCAGATCCAGGATCCCAGGACCAGAAAGCGCTGAGTCAGACAGACCCAGGTTCGAATCCTGCCTCTGCTGCTGGCCAGCCACGTGACCTTGGGCAAGTGCCTTTAATGTTCTGTGCCTCAGTCTCCTCATCAGTATAGCGGGTTAATCATGGCAGCAGCCTCAGAGGTTGTGCTGAGGATTCAGTGAGACTCAGTACGTGAGGACCCAACACAGCACAGGCACACAGTAAGAACTTAATAAATGCTGCCTGCCCTGCCATTGTTATGGATCAGATTGCCCAGGTTCTGAGCCTGGCGCTTCCCTGTATGGTGACTGTGCCTCAGTTTCTCACTTATGCAATGGGACAGCAATGGTGACTACAGGACAGGGATGGAAGCTACTTCCGGGGATCTTCAGGGAGCAGTGTGGGAGGTGGTCATTCCCATATGCCCCCCTTCCTTTTGGGAACTTTGCCAGTTGTTTGCCCTCATCCTTTCTAGACATGATGAGGCTGTAAAATGCCGCATTGCATTGTTGTTTGAGGGTGTCTTTAGTTGCATGTGTGTCTTTAGTTCCCAGCTAGATCCGGAATTCCTTGGGGGCAGGGACAAGCTCTTAGCTTTCTTTAGCCGCTGCCTCAGCACTAAACCTAAACCATCCTTCTGTGAGTGACTCGAGGGCAGGAAGGATGGAGGGAGAAAGGAAGATGGGAGAGATGAAGAATGAAGCTACCATCGTGAGTTGAACAGAATGTAGCAGATCCCTGGCTCCAAGACCAGAGGCTTCTGAGGCCATGGAGTCAACAATAAGAGAAGTAGTAATAGTACCAGCAGATTCGCATTGCTGAGCAGAGCACTGCACAGGTGCAATCTCGTTTGCTCCGCCCATAAACGCTGGCAGCAGGTGCGACTTCTGTGCCCATTTTGCAGATGAGGAAAACGGAGGCTCAGACAAGTCAGTGATTTTCCCATGTGATCACACAGCTTCAGGGGTCAAACCCAGACCGAATTCCTAAGCCTGAGTTAAAGCCCTGCTCAGGTCAGCCCCAACTGATTATGAGGTCATGGGCCATGCATCTTGGTGCCCTCAAAGGTAGGACAGCTCCTAAGTGCTTGCCCCAAAGGAAGAGGAGGTGTTAGCTGGGAAAGAGATGGGGATGTTCTGAGAGGAGGGAACAGCATGCGGAAGGCTCCACGGCGAGGAGGAGGAGGGGTCAGCCATCGAGGCTGCCGACTCCAGAGTCACATTTTGGATGTGTGACTCAGGCTCCAGGAGGGAGGAGAGTAAGAGCGAGCTCTCGACCCTCTCTGCCTGCGGCCCGGCAGACCTTTCCCTCTCCGAGCCTCGGGGCCTCGTCTTTAGAGTGTGGATAGCGACAGGACCTACCCCTGCTGGACGCATGGGACCGAAGGAATGTGCTTGGTAAAAGGCGCCACGTTAAACAGATGCCAAGGGACGGGTCGCCGGCAGCGACGGCCGGCTGGGCCGCAGAGCCAACCACATGGGGCTGGTGTGAGGATGAATCAGTCCACACACGTAAACACTCGGAAGGACGCCTGGCGCGGGGTACACCGCCGGTCAGTGTTGCCCATCACAGTCGTCGTCGTCTTCGTCATCGTCTTCATCACAGCCTTCCTTCCACCACACAGATGTGAACGGAGCACCTGCTCTGTGCTGGGGACACAGGCGGAGCAAAACTGAATCCTCAGGAGAGCACGTTTAGGAGAAAAACAGTGAGCCCCTGAGTCGGTCACTACCCAGTGCGCCCACGGGGCTCCTGGTTTGGAGCCGTAGAGCAGGGGGAGAGGATGGGGAGCGCCAGAGAAGGGCGTGAGTAGACGCCTGGAGGAAAGGAGGGCCAGAGCCAGCAGATATCTCAGGAGGAGGCACAGCCTGTGCAAAGGCCCAAGGGTGGCACCGGGCTTGTCGGGTCCTGGGGACCTCAGAGAGGCTGGGGCGTCGGAGAGGACTGAGCCAGGGGGATAGTGGTGGGAGGGAGGTCAGAGGGGGGGGGGCAGTTCAGGTCTGACCTTTAGGCCGAGGCCTTTGGCTTTTAACCCCTTAACCCCCGTGTTCTGGAAGCCATTGGAGGCTGATCTATTTATTTCTGTGCTAAAAGTCAGTTCTTTCTCACAACTCCAGGACACATCCTTTGTTTAGAACCCTCCCTGAGCATCACCTTGCCTGACATGAAATATTTTTCAAAACATTTAATACTTTAATCTGGGCCCCTCGGTGGAATCAGTTCTTTATCACCCGCGACCATCTGCTGTTTGGGCCGCGCCATAAATAACTTGGGAGATTTGACTTCTAAGGCGCTTATCTCTTTTGTTCTCTCCAAATTCTGAGAAACAACATTTGAATTTCCCTCGGAGAGGAGAGCCGTGGCACGTGTAAAATTCATCTCTCTCCATGTCCCCCGTTGGGGAGGCGTTGGAAGTGGGTGGAAAGTGCTTCACTTCTGATCTCCAGGTCCCATTAAATTTCATAAATGAGGCTCGAGGTAAAAGCAGGTGAGGCGGAAGAACCAGCCGTCCCCTCCCGACCACACTCGGGCACTCCTCGTCACCCTCTGAAGGAGGCCGGAGCAGCTGTCACGTTCCATCAGGATTAGAATGGTGGAGCTCCAACATGGGTCTAATTTTGTTAATTCTGAAGAAAATGCACTAAGAGCTAATGGCATGGGATTAGGGCCCCTGCTTGCAGCTTGGAAATGAGTCATGATGGTACGGGAATCAGGGGGACCGGGCCGAGCAGGGGATGGCGAAAGGGCTGAGCCGGGAGTTAAAGATCCATGCTCTGGTCTCCCCTTTGTTTTGGGGGAGAACCACCAATCTCCTGAAGCCTTCTTTCCTTATCTGCCAAGTGTTGGCTTTGTGTTCATTTTCACTTTTCACACATTTAATGACCTCTATAAGGGAGAAAAGATGAATTCTCAGGGTGAAGCCGGGGTGGGGCCAGGAACCCCAGGCTGTCCCCTCCCCACCTGGTCACTGCTCTCTTCCGCCCCGAGCCTTAGCCCCCGGCACCCCGGGAGGTCATTTGAAAACCACTGGTCCTTGTCATTCCACCAGCTGGCAGATTCACCAGGTCAGGACCTGTTCTCAGTGACCCGACGCCCCCTACAGGGCATGGGGAGCAGCGCCTGCAGTGTGAGGCCACAGCCAAAGCCACGCGGGAAGGATGTCCCCACATCGGGACCCTGTGTCTTCCACTCAGTCGGATCAATGGCATGTGCCATTTTGTATCTTGCCTTGCTTTTTAACTGACAGTTTTATCATAAGTGTTTGTCCTCTCATTAAAAGTTCTCATAAGTACTTCTGTTTTTAAAATTTTTTAGTTGTCTTCTGTAAATTGAAAAAATAACGTGTGCGTGGCAAAAAATATATTGAACCCATGCAAAAGAGTGTACAATGAGGAGGGATCTCCCTCGGCTTCAGAACCTAACTCTTCTCTCCCTAGGCAATCTTTGATAACGGTTTCTTGTGTATCCTTCCAAAAACGTTCTAGGCCTATACCGTATATGCATACTACCTCTGTGCATATGCATCTTTGAAAACGTAGATGCATAGCATGAAACTCTCTGCGCCTAATTTTCTTCATGAACCGCCATATCCTGGGCTCTTACACAAGCAGCACAGCGGATCTTCGTGCATTTTTCGGTTAACACACTGAGGCCAGGTGTTAATAGCTGCGCACTCTTCCAGTCCACAGACAAGCGTTATTCCCTTGGACTGCACAGGGGGCGGGATTTTGGAATATGTCTATGTTGGGGGGCACTGGGGGCGGAAATAGATAAAGGCTTTTAGATGACAGGAGCAGTCTAGGCATAAGCCAGGAGACAGGGCAAGCCAGGACGTTTCCTCCCACTGATCCTGTTCCATATCTAACTCTGTGTGTGTGTGTGTCTGTGTCGGGGTGTGTAAGACCTGCCCTCTGCACACCCCGCTTTCAAACCCAGAAGCAGAGCAGTGTTCCCGGCATAGAGGGACCAGAGTGAGTTGCCTGGTGTGACTTCAGCTTTCCCAACCCCACCTCTAAAATGCTTCTTTGACTGGTCACCTGCCCGTATTTCCTGTACGTTAAGTACTGTACCTTATTTTTAACTCTTTGTTGAAACATAACACTGGAAAGTGCAAATATCATGTGTCCAGCTCCACGAATCCCCACAAAGTGAACACACTATGTGACCAGCACCCACATCCAGAAACACAACAGGGTGGGCCCCCAGAGACCCTGTTGTTTCTTCCTGGTCACCACCCACTGTGACCACTCTGCTGACTTCTCACACTGGACATCAGCTTTGCCTGGTTTGGAACTAAAAATATAATGGCATCAGACTGTGTGTTCTCTTGTGAGCTTTTTTTTGCTCAATATTATGTTTGTGAGATTAATCCAAGTTGTGTGAATTTATCCATTCTATGTGTGATTTGTAAAATCTCTAGGCTCTATATGAACATCTGGACTATACGTATGTATAGAATATATGTGTATGTGTATATGCGTGTTTGTATATATACATGTAGACACACATATACACATACACATCAGGATAGATGCTTAACACACAGCTCTTCTCCAGACTCACTCATCCTCTTCGCTGCTGGCGGGCTTACAGTCAGTCCAGTTTGGGGCTACTACAAAGAGAAACAGCATCTTTGAACCCTCAGAGCGAGCCGCTGAGGCTGGTCCTGCTGCGATCACGCCAGGACGCGGAGGCTCAGAGCGGCCCGGCGCCTGGCCCGCAGCGCACGGCCCGCAGCGCACGGCCCGCAGCGC